GTGATGCAGATAGCAGAGCAGCAGAAGCAGCTCCTGACGGTCCCTCTGCAGGAGCCCCCGGCTGCTGCAGATAACGGGGCAGCAGCGGGAGCTCCCTGGGTCCCTCTCCGGCTGTTCCACCCGCTCCAGGTGCTGTGGATAACGGGGCAGCAGCAGGAGCTCCCTGGGCCCCTCTCCGGCTGTGTCACCCGCTCCGGGTGCTGTGGATAACGGGGCAGCAGCAGGAGCTCCCTGGGCCCCTCTCCGGCTGTGTCACCCGCTCCGGGTGCTGCGGATAACGGGGCAGCAGCGGGAGCTCCCTGGGTCCCTCTCCGGCTGCGTCACCCACTCTGAGTGCTGTGGATAACGGGGCAGCAGCGGGAGCTCCCTGGGTCCCTCTCCGGCTGTTCCACCCGCTCCGGGTGCTGTGGATAACGGGGCAGCAGCGGGAGCTCTCCGGGTCCCTCTCCGGCTGTTCCACCAGCTCCGGGTGCTGCGGATAACGGGACAGCAGCAGGAGGCTGCAGGAGCCACCGGCCAGCTCTGCCCGGCGCTGCTGTCACCACTGGAGAGGTGCCGGTGTCTCCTCGCCCTCCTCGCGCTGCTTTTCTTTTGCATGGCTTGCAGTGAGTTCCCTGTTGCAGCGCTGCATGTTGCACGGCCTGGAGCAAACGGGAGGAGGAGGGTGGCCCGCTCCGGAGCCGGGAAGCAGCAGGATGGGAATTCCACGCGGCTTGGGGGAAGCAGGGGAGCCCCTGGCCAGGAGGCAGACACGCAATCCTGCAGGGACACTGGGCACTCCCGGGACATGCAGGCCTGCAGGGACACGCAGCCCACGTGGACATGTGGAGCCCCTGGGAACACACGTGCCCCTTGGGACACGCAGTCCCGCATAGACACGGTGCTCGGCCATTGTGCGCTGCGCTCCGAGGAGGCTTGCGCTGCCTCCCGAGCTGCGGCCTCGTCAGCGCCTCCACGGGGGCTGCAACCCGAGGCGAAGCCCCCGGGCGCTGGTGCCGAGCRGGGCCGGAGMCGCCGTCCTCTTCCCGCAGGGCTCYGTGCACGGACACGGCCTCRCGGTGTCACCTGAGTCCCCGTCCCCTGCGGCCCCGCTGCCCTTGTGCCTCTCCTGGGGTCTCCTCGCTGTGGAGCTGGGCACGGGAGCAGCACCCCCGGCGCTGCTGTCCCGCACTGCAGGGCTCCGTGCATGGCCCAGGGTGCCAACTATGTCCCCAGTGCCGCTGTCCCCTCCCTGCGGGGCTTCGTGCATGGCCCAGGGTGCCACCTCTGTCCCCATCCCCTAGTACCGCCATCCCCTCCCTACAGGCTCTGTCCATGGCGCACGGTGCCACCTGTGTCCCCGTCACCCCCGGTACCATCGTCCCGCACCTCAGGGCTCCGTGCATGGCCCACGGTGCCACCTCTGTCCCCGTCCCCGCGGCGCCGCCGTCCCCTCCCTGCAGGGCTCTGTCCATGGCCCGCGGTGCCACCTGCGTCCCCATCACCCCCGGTGCCCCTGTCCTGCACTGCAGGGCTCTGTCCATGGCCCGTGGTGCCACCTGCGTCCCCGTCCTCTCGGCGCCGCCGTCCCACACTGCAGGGCTCCGTGCATGGCCCGCAGTGCCACCTGCGTCCCCGTCACCCCCAGTGCCTCCGTCCTGCACTGCAAGGCTCCGTGCATGGCCCATGGTGCCACCTGTGTCCCCGTCCCCGACGGTGCTGCCATCCCACACTGYGGGGCTCCATGCACAGCCCGCGGTGCCACCTGCGTCCCCATCCCCTCAGCGCCGCCGCCGCCGGTGCCTCCGTCCTGGCGCCGCCCCAGCCCATCCCAGCTCTCCAGTTTCCCTGTAGCCGCCGCCGAGGCCGGCCGAGCTCTGAGCCCTTTCCGTGCCCGCGGCTCCTTCCCCAGGCGCCTCCGGATCATCCGTGGAYGGTGCCTTGAGGCGCCCGGCGTTCCCAGCAGGGGCCTTGGTGCTGCCCTGGCCCGGGCAGCCCRGTGCCACCGAGACCGTTCCGCTGGGCACTGAGAGGACCGTGCGCCAGCTTTGCCTGCTCCCCTGCTGGGGAGGCCAAGCAGGAAATTCTGGCAAACTTGGGCAATGYGCAGCACCAAATCCCTGCGGGAGGAGGCCGGGCAGCCGGGACACTGCGGCAACAGGGTCTGCGCCGAGGGCTGCCCGCCCAAGGCCGCGGGCTCCTGCGCTGCCGTCCTTGCTGCTCCTCTCCAGCCCTTGGAGGAGGGAAAATGGGAGGGATTTACTGTAAGGTGCAGGTCGATCTTTGGCACAGCTCCGCTCCCCGGGGATCTCTGCTGGCCGCCCCAGCTCCTGCCAGGGCCTTTCCAAAGCAGCCGGATGGGGAGCTGCCCGGCCCGCCCTGGGGTCTTGCCCCTCGCTCCGGCTCCGGCTGGGAGCGAGCAGAGTGAGGAGGCTCACCTCTGTGCGAGCCCCACTGCTCCGGGCTGCTCCCGCTGCACCCAGCCCTGCCCCTCGCTGGCTGCAGGGAGCCCCGGGAGCACTGGGATCACCAGGACACGCTGGGGACACGGCGGGCAGTGAGGTGGTCCTGGCACCAAGGTCCCCCTCACTGGGACATGCTGGGGACACCAGGACACGCTGGGGACGCTGTGGGCAGTGAGGCAGTGCCTGGCGCCGGGGTCCCCCTTGCTGGGACATGCTGGGGACACTGGGACATCCTGGGGACAGTGCTGTCGGGGAGGCGGTGCCCGGCGCTGGTTTCCCCTTGGTGGCTGCAGGGAGCACTGGGACTCGCTGGGGACACTGGGACACGCTGGGGACACTGGGACACGSTGGGGACGCAGCCATCAGCGAGGCGGTGCCTGGCGCCCGTGTCCCCCTTGGTCGCTGGCTCCCGATGCCCTCGCCAGCCTGGCAGTCGCTGSCCGRGCCGCCGGCCCCGKCCCCGKCCCCGCGCTGTCCTTGTGCCGGGCACGCGACGGGCGAGCGCGGCGCAGAAATAGAGGCGCTTTGTGCAGCGGCGGCRGCGGAACTGGGCCCCGAGCCACGGCCCCCGGGGTCCCTCCTGCCGGGTGTCACCCCTGCCGCTGGGACGGGCTGGGACGGCGTCCGGAGCCGCGGGACAATCCCGCTTTCATCCGGCGCCCRGGCGCTCTGCGCAGCCGCTGCCGCCGCGGAGGAACCGGCTGCTGCTGCCGCCTCTCGAGGGAGGATGGAGGMCTGGGGGCTCTGCAGACCCYACAGGTTCCCCAWGGACCTTGCAGACCCCRCAGGTTCCTATGGACCTTGCAGACCCTGCAGGTTCCCCAAGGGCATTGCAGACCCCTCAGGTTCCCCAAGGGCCTTGCAGACCCTGCAGGTTCCTATGGACCTTGCAGACCCCGCAGGTTCCCTATGGACCTTGCAGACCCCGCAGGTTCCCCAAGGGCCTTGCAGACCCCGCAGGTTCCCCAAGGGCCTTGCAGACCCCGCAGGTTCCCCAAGGGCATTGCAGACCCCTCAGGTTCCCCAAGGACCTTGCAGACCCC